GACCTCCTGTAATGGAGAATTAAATGATTTAATTCTCCATTACAGGAGGTCACAAGTAAATCCTAGACCTTAAATCTTAAACCCCTAAACCCTAAAACCTATTTAAGCTCCTAGACTAGATCTTGCGGACCTGGGTCACAGGGTCTAGGACAACAGCTGCTCCCCCAGACATGCCGGTGCTCCTCCTGATATGGTTATGTGAGGTTTGGATTCTAGGGATTGGTTTTGGGTTTTGGGTTTAGGGGCTCGGGGTTTAGGGTTAGGGTTTGGGGGCCACATTATGGCGTGTGATGCTTGCATTCTAGGATCTGATTCAGACGTCCTTCTGCGGGAAGTCCTTTTGGGAACTATTCAGCTGGTTGGGCTACAATGGGGCCCCTATTTTAGGGTTTATAGGGTTTAAGTTAGGTTTGGGGAGCACCTAGAGACTGAAAGCACACAAGCAAAGCCCGCAAAGAACCAGAAGCCCAAACTCCAAAGCCCAACCACCAAACCATGAACTCTAAACCTGAAGCCCTAACAAAGTCAAAGCCCAAAGCCCTAAGCCCCAAACTTCAATCCCAGATCCTATAAACCCGAAACCCGAAGCCCCACACCCTTAAACCTTCAGTCATACGCCCTACACCCTAACCCTTAAACCCGTAACCCTTGAAATTCCAAAGCTGCAAACTCCCATTCTCGACCTTAAAGCGTCAAGCACCACATAGGCGTGAGGCTTTCGGGTTGAGGCTTAAGGTTGTTTTGGGGGCTCAGGAGGTCCCAACCCTACACCTTCAACCCTAAACCCTAAACCCTAAACCCTTAACCCAAAGCTTGGGGATCCCACGCCTGAAAGCCCCAAACCAGTTCTATTAGATGCTTATAGGGTGTTGTTAGGAAAAGCATGTGTAGAGTAAGCCAATTCAGGGTTTAGGGTTCAAGATTTAGTGCTTAGGGTTTAGGGTTTAGTGTGCAACCATTACATAATCTTGGAAAAAGATCCCCATATTAACTTCCCCCGTTCTCTACTTAGAGCCAGGGAAAGACCCTCAACCTAAACCCCCGAAAACGACAGGCAACATCGGCGTTGTGCGTGCGCTGTTGGAAGCCGGTGCAGACACAGAGCCGAAGAACCTAGACAACTTGTGAGGAGCCTCTAAACCCTATAGTCCCCCTTAAGTAGATAGAATATGGCTTTGGGTAGATTATACCCCATATTCTATCTACTTAAGGGGGACTATAAACCAAAAATCCTAACTGAGCCCCAAAAGTAGGTAAAATAATGGCCACAAGCACTTCAAAAAAAGTCCAAAAGGCAATCATTTTGCATACTTTTGGGGTTCAGGTAAACCCTAAACCGCAAATCCTAAACCCTTTTGAGAAGTGGTCACTGTATGGTATGTGAGCTGCGGAGTAAATTTAGGTTGGGGGGGACCTATAGGGGACTATGTAGGGTTTTGGGCGGGACCTATTAAGGGGTATACTACAAATTTAGTCCAGAGCTCATGTAACGACCCGAATTTTTTCTCCTTGGGACTTAGCTTGGACCTTAGACCCTTAACCCCTTATGATTGCCTTATACTTCTATTACAGGTACCTAAGGGTTAACCCTTAGTAGGGGTCCTAAGAGCCACGTAGCTGTGAAATTCTCAGCTTACGAAGCTACAGAACCAGAATTTCCTCGTGCATCGCTTCAATACAGGATCCGATACTATATGAGCTATAGTCTAAACTCGTTAAAAGGGGGTTATATAGGGGATTAAATAGGGGACTGTTATAGGGGTTATTAAGGGGGATACTAGGAGTTTAGACTATGGTTCATATGAGCCCAATCCCTGTTGTACTTGAAACAGCAGCTCTGGTCAGTAGCAGAAGGTTCGCTTCTGATAAGTTTAGTGACGACCCTATGAGTTCCTGGTTTAGGGTTTAGGGTTTATGGTTTAGGGTCGACTTCTTCCCTTGGAACTTTATACCCTAAACCATAAACCCCAGACCATTTTCCCAGTCCTAGTGCACTAGACCAGACACGCGAAATCGTAAACCCACAGCCTAAAATCCCCAGCCACAACTCCTGAGCCCTAGAGCCGAGTCTGATTTTTATGGCCTTGGGGTTTAGGGATGTGCGGTTTAGGGCTTAGGGTTTAGTGACTGGGGTCAAGGGTGTAGGGGTTAGGGTTTGGGGTTTAGGGATTAAGGTTTAGTGCTTAGGATTTGGGGTTTAGAGTTTAAGGTTAAGTGACTGGGGTTCAGGGTTTAGGGTTTGGGGTTTACAGGTTTGGGGTTTAGGCTGTACTGTCCAAGGAACAAAGATGGCAAAACGGCCATCGCACTTGCCTGCGAAGGCGGTCATTTCGAGGTTATGCAGCCCCTGGAGCTTTAAACTTGCTGGTTGATAGTAGAGAATGGAAGAAAGGGAAGCTATTTATTATTGGGAAGTTTATCGAAACCACTGCCGCAATCCATTCCTCCATTCCATGCGCTAAACCCAACAATCTAGGCCTGTAATGGCGTAGTAGTTTCAGTTTTCTCTTCCATTCCATATTCACCACCCCGCCAAACCATAAGAAAGCCAGAAAAAGTCAGCCCAGGCTCCTCTTTGAGTCAGTGACTTTGGTGAAGGAGCCCGCACCCGAGGGCCACATAGTCGCGTCAGCGGATGCTGAGATCATGGTAGGGGGGCATGGGGTCTGTCCACGTCTTGTACAGCAACTTTACAGTACGTGGTTTGGTGAGGGCACCGTCGATGGTGGCTGGTGCGCAAGGCGCAAAAGTCCGAAGCCTGACACGCCTTCTTCACGTGAGTGGCTATAACGATTCGCTAGAGAGTTTGGAGTTTAGGGGCTATAGGGCCGGGGTTTAGGGATCTTCCCCTGCCGCCTCAACTGTTGTCCTATGCTTTGGAAGTTAAGCGGGTTTAGGATGGTTCCGTTGTGTTGGCTCTATTTATACAAATGAAGATAGCGGTTTTCAGAACATGGGGTCCTCTCTTAGGAGCTGCATGCTTAAGGGGTGTAGGCTTTAGACCCCCAGAGCTCTGGATTTTCAGTGGAGTAGGGTATGCTACATAATAGTGCAGTCGTCCTGCATCACGAGGTTGTATTCTGTAGCCACCTCTGGTTAGTACCTAAACCCCAAAAGTATGTAAAATGATAGCCCTAACCCGCCCTTCTAATAGCCATAAAGGCCATTATTTTACATACTTTTGGGGTCCAGGTATTCCCAACGAAGTACACCAGAGACTTGCAATATGCCTACCGAAGACTGCTGTGAGGCTCGGAACGTTTTAAAGCCTAAAGCCTGAGGCCCGAATCCAACACTCAATGGGGGCTGCAAAATTGACCCTATTCCCTAAACCCTAAACCTTGACTAGACTCTAAATCCTAATTGAACCCGACCCTGAGCCCTAATTAGACCCCTACTTCAACCCTAAATCCTAAACCCTAATTAAACCCTGAACCCACATCATAATCCACGCCATCCGGGGCCTGCTTGGGGTTGGCCCCTTTTGAACTTAATACCTTCCCTAATGGCTTTAATACGGGACCCTATATGCGAACATGTTTCAAAGGGTTTTAGGGGCAACTCAGGGAAGGCCGCGGTAAAAAGCATCGATAAGGGCAGACCGGCTCTCAAACCCCCATGGGTTCAGAGTCTGGGTTTTCGACCATTTCCTGGAGATGAAGATTAAACTGAAGACCCTAATACCCCCGTTCTTGCACAGACCCTATCCTAAACTGCTACTGTGTGCCAAGAATGCAACTATTTGGGGAGGCTGGTGTAGGATGCCTTCATTGGGATGTTACCAAAAGGGTTTAGGCTTCAGGGCTTAGGGTTTAGGGGTGCTATGCTGTCAAAGTTTAGGGTTTGGGGTTTAGGTCTCGAGTTGAGGAGAGCTGGCTTGGAATTTACGCTTCATGGGTTTAGGGCTTACCGTTGCCGGCTTTGAGTAAGGTTCAGGGGTTGGGGTTCATGACCAGCAATATTGAGGATAAGAAAGAACCTAGAGTAATGAAGAGCTTTAAGCTGGCTAATATTGGTCCCCAACAACCTTTCTAGAACTCGAAAGCTCCGTATCTGCAAATGCTATTCCAAGTATTGCGCTCCCTACATTAGGCGGAAAGCTTGCTAAGCCTAAGCCCTAAACCCTAAACCCTAAACCCTAAACCCTAAAGAATGCTCGCTAAGGTACTACAGCAACAAACTGACCAAGGTGACAACCTGGGAACGGCCTGCCGTCCTTGCGCCTGGACTTTCTTGATCTTGGGTTTAGGGTTTAGGGTTTAGGGTTTAGGGTGAACCACTCACCTTCCGGGTTTAGGGTTTAGGGTCCCCGAGCCCACCTAGACCCCAAAAAGGTAGATTAGTTCACTTTGAGGCAATTTTCAAGGGGTGTTGGGCCACTATGTATCCTTTTTGGGGGGTTTAGGCAAGCCCTGAAGCCGAAACGCTAAGCGATGGGCCGCAAATCCTGAGCTAGACACCCAAAAAGGCGAGATCTGGATTGCTTGTGTGCCTCCATTGAATCCTGAACCCTAAAACCCGAACCCCTAAATCCTTAGCAATGTTCAGGGTGAAGGGTCAAGGGCTTCAGGGTTCTTAGGCTAAGGCTTCGTGACCCCTACATTTACGCTATGGACCCTTTGAGAGTCATAATCACATAATTATCACAGGGTCCTTATTTTGGATCCTGGTGGTTATACTTCTGGTTTGCCTTTTTCGCGTTTTTCTGGGGGTTGGTAAAGCAGGTTGCTAGTAAGATGATCTGACAACATAAGCTTTCGGGTTTAGGGTTGAAGGTGATTTTCAAGGCATTTGCCAACACAACCATCAGTCAAAAGGATAGTGTGAAGCCTGCACAATTACCAATGCCATGGTCCTAAGCTCCTTGTATATTTAGGGCATAATTAGAGTACCTCCAAGAAACTTCATCATGATGTTGGTACTTACTTAGGCCCCTATGCAACGACATCCCCTGATTAAAGCCAATGTAAGCCCAGTTTCGATTTAGCCTCCCTATCTTCTTTTCCGTTTGATCCTCCATCGTAGATTACAAAGACCCTGAACCCAAAGTACCCAGTACCCTAGACCTGAACTACCCTGTGCCCTAAACCCTAAGTACCCTGTACCCGAAACCCTGAACCCTAAATCCGATATATCACCTTGGTCTTCACCTGGGTGAAAGAGCTGTTAAGGTAATATGCGACTGGGTGGAGTACACCGACAAGGCCACCGGCAAGACGCACCTAGGCCAGCATTGAGGGTTTAAGGCGTAGGGTCTAGCGGTTTAGGGGATTTGACTTTCGCAGTTTAGAGGTTTAGGGTTTGGGGTTCAGGGTTTGTAGTCCGAAGTTGCCCAGAGGGTGTATTGTTTTTGGAGCTTAGGATTAAGCCTTACTTCCCTGACGAGAGATTTTTGGTCTAAGGTTTACGACCATAGCCCCCCAGTCAGTCTGGGCGCTTTCTCCTGGAATTGGGGCCGTTTAGGAGTTTACATATTTCATTTACATGCCCTAAACCCTAAACCCTATACCAGAGCTACGAATGTAGCCAGTTGTTCACATTAGTGCTTCGCTTTCGGTCTTCATCTGCTGGGTTTCAGACCCTGAACCCTAAACCCTAAACCCCAAAAACCCTCTAAACCCTAAACCTTATAAACCCTAGAACCCCTAAACCCTATAAACCCTATAAGCCCTAAAAACCCTTAAGTCTATGAACCCTCAACCCTAATCGACTCAGTGTAAAGAGTGTCCTTGGGCGCTGAGTTTCATCTCAGGGCCTGCTGATGATTGAGGCTCCTATCGCCCAAGGGCCTAAGCTCCCAAAGCATGCGAGTTATAGTCTAAACTCCTAAAAGGGGGTTATAGGAGATCATATAGGGTTGAGGGTTTAGGGCTTAAGGTGTATAGGGAATTATATAGAGAGTACTATAGGGGTTATTATAGGGCATATTAAGAGTTTGGACTATAGCTCATGTAGACTTGTAGCCTCTTTGACTCTTTTTGGCGGGGTTGGCCCATTATTCTACTTACTCTCGCCAGAAGCGAAAGCGAGAGATCCAAAATTCCTGAATTCTACACCCTGTTCCCCCCCAAACCCCGCGACCTATAGCCTAAACACGGTTAAGGGCGAAATCCTTGACCCTATAAGCCCTGAACCAACAACGAGCCAAACAGAAAGGAAGCCGCGGGGCTTCGAAACAGAGCTAAGGTATTACCACAACAAGCATACTACTGAAACAGCCTGGGAGAAGCCAACTGTACTATCTGTGGCAAGCGCCGCGGAGAAGAAGGCTGCCGATCCTTAGCTTCGAGTTTGCTTGGGTTTAGGCCTTAGGGCTTAGGGTTTAGGGTGTAAGGTTGGGTAGTATGGATCAGGGAAGGGGATAAAGGTATTATCATGAGGGACAATAATCCCCTCCCCTTCAAGAGACGTTATATAGACGAGTATCCATTTCAAAATTATGGGCGGGGGGATGTTTACCATTATCGAGGAAAGGTTGTATGGGGACTGCTGTAGGGGTCCGACCCCTCGTTTTCCTTACTTACAGACAGCTTTGGCCTTCACTAGGAATTTTAGGTCTAGGGTTCAGGATTTAGATCCAGGTTTAGGGTCCCGGGCCCCTTGGCGGTAGACGCCAAACAATGAGTGGCTGAAGCTTGAGGTGTAGGGTGTCGAGTTGAGGATTTGAAGTTCAGGGTTTAGGGTTTAGGGTTTAGGGTTTAGGGTTTAGGGTTACCTTTTGGATGTGGACAGAATTTGCGGTTGAATGTAAACAGTCCACAGTTTACCCGAGCCGAGTTATCTCAACATCTCATCAAGCTCTTGGTCCCAAGCAATTCCACAATAACTTCCGCACATGGAACTTGGAAACCCTGAGCGGTAAACTGGTAAACATCCCCAAGACGTTCTTCACAACCCAAAAAGCTGCTAAACCCGCACGCTGAATCTTAAACCCTAAAGCCTCAATGAGTCTTAAACCCTTAATCCTTAATTAGCCTAAATCCTAATCCCAGACTAAAAATTGAACCCCAAGCACTTGAAGGTTCAGGTCAGTTTCAAACGCGCTGACACGTGTGGTCATAACCGATTGTAACTCTATTCTGGGACTCCGGAGTCTCAAAATTGAATTATGAATACAATTATATTTGGGTTGGGTTTAGCGTTTAGGGTTTAGGGTTCTACCTATCCTGAATGGTCACCAAGGAAAACAAGTGCTTCGCAATTGGGCCACTACTTTGACAACTCCATACCCACAGGCTTCATGAACAGGGACTGCTTTGCAACACACCTGCTCTTTTTCAAGCAAAAAAAACAATACTTCAAAATGCTACACCTCTGTTGGCACTCAGGCCGCAGTACCATGCAGGACAGCAATGAAACGCTCATAACTCATAACCACAACTGCTGCAGCAAAACCATCATGCGGATGACATGCCTTGAACACACACAATTGTGTTCCCCAAGCACCAGCACCACGACACAGGCTACCAACAAAAAACAAGTGCTTGGGCATGAGATCGCTACTTTGAAAGACCCCAAACCGGTAGTGATATCATGAACATGCAGTGCTTTGCAACGCACGCATGTGTGTTTTCCAATCAAAAAACAGCCCCTGGCAACATTATGCTGCTGCTGATGCTGCTGCTCCTGCAGCAGCTCCAGTTTTGCTGTTTGCTTTGGTTGTGGCAGTTTTCTGGCTTGACGTGACTGTGCAAAAGCTCACGATACTCGTGATGTTGCGTCTTGCGGTTTATTTATGAAAGAATATGCCTGACAGAACTTGCAAAGAATGAGCAGGGTTTGAGGGCTGAGGCCCTTCAAAGAACTGCCAAGAAGTTATCCAAGAACAGGTGCCCGAGAAATTGGGAAGATCAAGCACACTGTTCTCGCGTCTGACTGCCTTGTCGAGCCCCCTGCTTCTGGCATGTTGCGTATCCTGTTCAACCCTAAACCCTAAGCAAGTTTTGTCTTCGGAGTTTGGGAAAAAACAGGAGCTTTACTGTGACAGTCCTCGTTGTGGTGTTGCAAAGCCAGCTCCTCCTGCTCCACCCTTAGGGTTTAGGGTTTAGGACTTGAGGAGGATGGTTTTGCAAACGTTACCGAACATGAGGATGAGACTCTAAGGGCTTTTGGAGGGACCCCTAATAGGGACCCTTGTAGCTTATGGGGGTTAATACGCGGACTACCTTGGGATATAGGGGTTTGTATACTGACTATATAAGGGTTAAATATGGTATTAGGATTAAGGGTCCCTATTAGGGGTCCCTCCTAAAGTTCCTAGAGATAAGATATCCATGCGGACGCCGAAGCATATAAGACGTATGTCTTGCTTTTGGCGGTGCTGGCGGCGCATGTCTTATCCGAAGAGAAGGTCATCATGGAAATGAAGGCAAACCTGCTGTACAACGAAGAAGCCAAGAAGACACAGACCAAGTTGGAGACCGAATTGGCCGAAGAACAAAAAGAAAACGAAAGGCAGAGTTCCAGCGCAAGCTGGGCCCGAAACCCCAAACCCGCAATCCAAAACCCTAAATGCTTAAACAGTCAACCATAACCTCTCCCTCCCCAGACCCCCAATCCCTAAACCCTGAATCGTAAACCCTGAACCCTAAACTCTAAAGCAAGCCCAGGCTTCGCAGCTTCCACCGGAGCACGCGTGGGAGAAGCCAGCTGCACCGGTCCAAGCGGTCCAGGAAGATAGCAGGAGTGGGCTTTTACAAGCTTATTTCAGGGATCATGTAGGGGTTATGTGGGACGTTTTGGGTTGAGGTTTTAGGGTCTACGAGCTAAATCAGAATCCAACAGTAAACTGACATGATTAGGCGTAAAATGGTTCAGATAGCCCAGATGTCCACAAGCCAGACCGCGCACCCTGATCTCGAAATCGTAGACTCCGGAAAACGAGGCAGACCCGGAACCACGGAACCCCGAAACTTTTTAATAGTCTTATTTCTTGGCAGAACAGTGTAGACCAGAAGCCTAAGCCCCAGATTCTACACTTTGAATCCTAGACCCTAAGCCCTAAGCTCTAAACCCCTAAACCCTAAACGTCCCTAAACCCTAAACCCCTAAACCCTAAACCCCAACCCCCTGGACCCTAAACCCTAAACCCTTCTTTGAGGATCGAGCACAAAAAGCCAGCCACGCAGCTTCCAACGACTTCGACTGCATCGAGAGGAGCTTGTGATTGGGGAGTAGGGTTCAGGGACTAGGGTTTAGGGTTAGCTAAACACCAAAAGTATGTAAAATGATACTTCTAAACCTCTAATAACAGCCAGAAAGGCCCCACTTTTGGGGTCCAGGCAGGGCTTAGGGTTTAGGGCTTGGGATGCTGGGATTAGGGTTAATTATGGTTCAGGGCTCAGGGTTTAGGATGCTAGGGATTGGGGATTAGGGTTTTGGGGCTTTGGGTTTAGGATGCCGGGGATGGGGGATTGAAATAAAACTTGAGAATTTGACGGTCGCGTGTTCTTAGAGTTTACAGGTATAGGGTGTTGTATTCTTGTGGCTAGGGGTTTAGGGTTTAGGCCCGGGGTTTTGGGATGGGTTTGTTGTTTTGAGGGGATCTGACAGCCCCTTTTAAACGATATGTTTATACTTCATGAGCTTGGTTCGACCCTGTTCACGCAAGCCACGCCCCTGCCTACAATCTGAGACATCAGGGTTGTGAAAAAGACCTTCGGAAAGAAAGGACCATTGGAAATACACTTCCTCAAAAGGGATCCCAAAGATCCCAACCAAAAAGAGAGCCTACCTTGTGATCATTTTCCGGGACAGGTATTTTGATCAATGAACATAATTCTAATATTTTCTTGCAGCAGTTTACCGGGGATGTCATCTTTAGGGGGAGACGTGATGCAAAACTCGATTCCTGGCACCTTCCCGCACATCCTGGAACTCCTCATCTGCCAAATGACCAGAAACATCGACCGTCAGAGGCGCGCAGGATGACATGGCGGGGTGTATGAACTACGGTCAATATTAGCTTTAAAAAGGGACCCTTAAGAGTGGACATTGTGGAATTGTGGTCCCTCTTGTAGTTTAGTAGAGTCCGTAATAGACTCCCAAATAAGGAACGCATGTCCATTAAATTGGGTAGGAAATATTGACTGTAGCTCCTCTGCAGCCCTACAGCCACTAAAGGGACCTTGAGGTGCAGTTACGGGCCCTTAGGGGAATAGCCTTGGTCTCATAACCATTGCAAAGGGGCAGAGCATTATACTTTCCTAGGGCTCTAGTTACCTAAATAGTGTGAACTGGGTTCTATATACCCTATAGTTACATAGCCCAGTAACCTACTATTCAGGTAACTGGGAGCCCTAGGGCTTTTCAACCCATAGCAGGAAAAGATAGCTGGTTCAGCAAAGCTGCACACGTCACCTCCACAGTTGGTACTGGTCAAGGGTCCTGCCCCCCGTACCAATGTCCTTTGGAGGTGTCTGAAAACAACTATCTATGTGCCTTCTGCATAGGCCGTACCTTAGCCAACCACTCCAAGTAAGCACTACCTGGGCCCCAAAAATATGTAACAAAATAGCACCAAAACCTTTAAAACAGCCCAAAAGGCAATCATTTTACGTACTTTGGGGCCTCAGGTAAACCTCAAACCTTACACCGCAAAGACCAAAACTCTAAGCTCTCCACCTTGGACCTTCCACCATGAAGTTGATGTGTTTAGGTGGACCCCAGCCCAGGACCCTTTAAGAATAGTAATTAGTAATGATAGTAACAATAAAAATAACAGTAGTAAGAGTAGCAATAATAAAAGTAATCAGAATAAAGATAACAATACTAACATTAATAATAATAACAATAATAATAACAATAATAACAATAATAATAATACTAATAATAATAATCAGAATAACAACAATAATAATAAAGATGATTTTTGAACTCCCTTAGCCGACCTTGGTCCGAGGAGCCAAGGACCTTGTGGGCTTGCCTACTGCAATGCCAGACTACTGGTCCCACGCGAACATGATGGCTTCCCAAGGCCAAGTGGCTTAGGGTCCTGGGGTAAGGCTTAGGGCTTAGGGTTCAAGGTTTAGGGTCTAAGCTTGATTGGGGTAAGGGTTGGGGCTTTGGGCTTGGTGTCTTAGGTTTGGGGTTCACGGTTCGGTAAAACCCAAAATCTACCTGTACCCCGGTTGTAGCCGAACTGGCTGCCAAGCTCGGAGGTTCCTGTGATCCACAAGAAAAAAGCCAACCTATGAATTTCTTGTTCCGCAATGTGAAGATTGAATTGGGGTTTGTGGGCGGGTCCCCTATCAGTTGCCTCCACTTAAACCCTAAATCCTAAACCTAAACCCAAAATTGTGGGCCACTTTGGGGGATTGTAACTTTGTCAAACTCACGCATCCCGATGCCAGGGCCTGAACGCAACACTCTAAGCTCTATAAGTCCGACACCTTAAGCCTGGGGCCTCAATTCCTGAACCTCAGAATTGTTGAAACTAAACATGTACTCTGCTCTAC